CATTACACATTTAAATTAACGTTCATATGTAATTTCAAGGAACAAACATATACAAAGCTGACAGGAAACATTGAGGGGTGGGGTGGGGACGCTTGTGATCACACAAAAATATCGATCCAACCCTCTCTAAGGAATTTGATCCCGGATAGTAGAGGCAATTTTTTAATACATGATTTTAGAGTGAATGGAAAGATTTCCAATGAAAGATTAACTTAACTCAGTGACATGAAATCCCATGAGGGACAAGGCCTACTATGCCCAACTTAGTAATCGCGACCTTGGGCCCTGAGGTACATACAAGATGTTCCGGTCAGGTGGACAGTCTGATGCGAAAACCTCCAGTGTTAAGTTCCCAAACAAGCTTGGTACTCATTTTATCGACCCATTGAAAGGATGAAAGGCTCAGTCAACCTTGCTCAGCCCGGGGTTTGAACCTCGGACCTGTGGTTTGGAAGCGCGATGCACTAACCACTCAGCCACTGTGCGAATAAAAGATTGGAACCAGGTTTTTTAGCAATTTGAGATGGGGATACCAGATGAAAATCTTTAGTCAGAGGACATGCAAACACATAATGGTCAGCAACCTCAACAGAACCACAAGGACTATTGGGAGTAGCTTTTAAAATTTGAAGCGATGCAAATAAAAAAACAGGTGACCTATGGTTTGTTGAGAATTGCGTGACATAACTGGAATGGGGACTGATATCTCGACGGACCTCGTAATTTTGAGCGTCGGTCAAGTGATGAGGAAAGCACCTGAGCTGGCACCTCTACTCCTAACTATCACACCACATCAACGGGAGGATATTACCCCTCGATGGGATTTAATGGCCATGGCCCCCCCCTACACGGTGGGTTCTCACTGGCACCAGGATTCGAACCTACGGCATTCCGTTGCTGGTGCTGGGTGACCCTCGTAAGTTAAACTGTAATCATAGAAATCTAATGTTTATTTAATATATTTTTAGCTTTAAAATGAAGAAATAGAGTTTGGAAACCTAAAATTTTCAGGTTCTTTTATTAATAGAAATGGGCTTATGACTTGAATTAGCTAGAGCCAAAAGCGGTCGTATACTTACAATTGTTTTGATAAAATTGAAATTTTTCCCACCCACCCCTCCACCAGCGCTGTTGCGCTGCATTTAATGTGGACTGCTTTCTATTTTTATATGTAACTTCAACAAATTTTTCTCTGTTCAATTTATTATGATGAATGGATAAAAGAGCTTTCTCTAAGGTTCCACGTAAATATATAACCGTTACCGTTACCTTAAAATTGAAATTGAAAATTGAAAATTTAAGGATTTTATGAAAGAGTTCGTTTTAGGAGTTACTTTTAATTCATTTTAAGTTTTCAATTTCTCTTTTTCCCCTCATTCACACACACGTGTATGTGAGTGTGTATACACGGCCACTCTTAATGCTTCTCTTAGGTGTTTTGCGACAAGCTTGAAACTTTTTTAAAAATTCCAAAGGAAGGGGGAAAGATGTANATAGAATAGAATAGAATATGAATGAATGAAGGCATCAAAAAATTTGAGATAGGTTGTATATGTGATTTGTTTATGTTTTTATTGTATGTGTATGTGTTCTTATGTTTTGATTGTACGTGCATGTGTGTGTGTGTTTTTATGTTTTGATTGTATGTGTATGTGTGTTTTTATGTTTTGATTGTATATGTGTGTGTTTTTATGTTTTTATTGTATGTGAATGTGTGTGTATGTGTGTTTTTATGTTTTGATTGTATGTGTGTGTGTTTTTATGTTTTGATTGTATGCGTGTGTGTTTTTATGTTTTGATTGTGTGTGTGTTTTTATGTTTTGGTTGTATGCATATGTGTATGTTTTTATGCTTTGATTTTATGTTCATATATATTTCATAAGCTTATATGCAAGATAGTGAACTACAATCCTTAACCAATTCAGTTTGTCTAGAAACATACATTGACCATTTCTATATATGCAAAAACTTGACGTATATTTCCTACATAGAGAGATACATACATAGTATGGGAGCTCCAGCCCACAAGACATATTTTGAAAATTACTTAAAAGTATTAACAGTTTACTAAAACATTAATTGTCTTGAATTAATTGTCTTTATTAATTGTCCTTATTAATTGTCTTGAATTTTCCACTGTACACACGACTTTTTCAGAAATGGTTTGATTGTTTTAATTGCGTCATAAAATTCACACAAAGATAATTCTGATTTAATTTTAAAATTTATTAGTTGTTTAACAGTAGAATACTGAAAGTCTACTTTTTTTCTGCTAAATTTTTGCCACAATTGAAAAAATTCTCTCAACTAGAGCAAACGTCCTAGGCAAAGACATCCCAAGTTCAACCATTTTAGGGGAATACTGCAACACATGAAATATCAATCTTTTGAAACACACTTTCGACATGTCTTCAATAGTATCTGGTACTTCTTCAAAATTTGAACTACAACCTACCATTTAGTTTTTAATTACCTAGTTCAACAATGTACGTTCATCAAATAGGTCATCAATACATTTATACAATCTTTTATAATTGCGTAGACATATTGACGATTTAAGCTCAATTCGGGCTCCGGACACAGAAGGTCTACGGACCCCCTTGTCACTGGTAGATCGAAATTCATAAGTCCAGCTTGTTCTGGCCCCCTTTCGAGCCTCGGGCACCTGGGCACCCGCCCCAAGCATCCAATGAATAAACCGGCACTGCGTTGACAACTTGTGCACATCTTACTAGGGTTTCTGATTTCCCGGGTTTTTCCATTCCCGAGAATGTAACTGTTGTTCTCGGAATTCCCGAAAATACATCAAAATTTCAAAAAATTTAAAAACAAGTTATTTTTAAATAAAATTAATAATAATTATATAAAATAAGGATACATATAAATTCCAAAATTAATACTTATCTATATAATGAGCTAACACAAATACAAGAAAAATTATAATAAATTGATTATTCATTTTTATAATAGTATTTCAGAAAGCATAAGCAATTTATGCTTTTATCACTCAGCCTAGTTCTAAGCATTGTGACAAAGAATCCGGTAGCAGAAAATGCTGTTTCCGGCTTCAACTAAAGTTGGAAGAATTGTTTTTAAAGCCTCACATAGTTTTATAATGTTTGGTTATGAATTTTTAGTCGAGTCGAACAATTGCATCTCTTGTTTCATGCAGTTTACTTCTCTTGTTTCATGCAGCTAGTACTTTTTTTCCTTGGTTGAACAATATAAAACTTTTGTTTTAAAGTAAATTGTTTTCTCTAATTTTTCGTCCAACGCCAGAGGTTTTTCTTTCAAGATCTCCATGCTCTTATCTTCTGAGTGCGAAGAGTTGGATGTTGGTTCCTCTTGTTCGCAGAAAAGCCTTGTCCCTCTCTCTCTCTCTCTATCATTTGGACTTGTCTAACCAAACAATTTTTAATAGGCATCACATTAATCCTATTAAATTAACGTTTTGCGTCTCTCATTAATTCTTTGGATTAGAGAATATTTCATATTTTTCACAAATTCTGAATTTTGTTCGTTCAATTCCCCAATAACGAAAGAGAATACACCTTCTACATTTAACTAAGTTCCATTTCGACTGCATAATTTATCTAAGCCAATTTTTACTGGCTTGAAGCATGCTACAATTGTGTGGTCACAGTTTCAAACTCTACATTGGTCATCATTTGTGTTCTTCTTTAATGTCAATTAATGCTTTTATATATAAAATTGCTCTGACTTTATTTCTAAAAATTTTTCAAGCATTACCAACAAAGTATTCCAGCGTGTTTTGGTCTAGGCGATTCCCGGGAAATTCCGGGAACGAAGTATAATTCCCGGGAATAGAAAAAGTACAGAAATCTTATGATTTCCCTAGAAAGAAACCCTACATCTTATCCTGTAAATCAAAGCAGGCATTTTCAGATCGTAATGTGAACCACTGAAACTTACTAACTGTATCAAAACTGTTATCCACAACTCTAAATATTGAATGCTAGAACTATAGAAATTGCATATGCTTGAGAAGAATATTTGTTCAGCAATTATTTGTTATTGTCTATAGCAATTTTTCGGTATGTCTGAAATGCTTCTGCTGCTGTGATAGAATAAGCTTCCAATTTCAGAACTACATTATTAATTATGCACAGCTCTAAGAGAATGTTTTAAAATTAGATGTCGAACATATAGGTCTGAAATTTAAAAAAATTCTCGCCAGTCAAATACCGACCACTATATCCTGGACAGCACTAAAAACCAGGACTGTCTAGGCCAGTGGTCGACAACCTAAGGTACGCTTGCCACATTTGACACGCAGTGCAATTCTCAATGACACTCAGCACTAATCTACAAATTTGTCTATTTTTGAGTAGATGGAAGTGGATAATTTTAAAATGAAATATTTGTGTGGACTATCATCTTCAGAATTATGGAAAGCAACAATTATGGAATTACCCGAAATAATCTGATGGATAACTCTAATGATAAATCGATAGCTGTTTTAAATTATTGGATGTCATTGCCGAAGAGATTTATTTGTTTAGAGAAAAAGTGTTAGAAAGCTCAATGGACTCTGTTTTCCACTTTTGGTTCTACATATGTATGTGGACAAATTTTTCCTCTCATATGGTAAATATTTGGGCCCGAGAAGAATTTGTTTATCTATTAAATGTTCAAAATCATTCCAAATTGAAAGTAGCGCATTACATCTCTAATATTGGGATAAGAAGTAGAGCGGTGCAGGGAAGGTTGACATTAAAATAATTATTTTTCAATTCCTCCTATTATATATATATATATATATATATACATCTTGTTCAAATTTTCAATCTTTAATAAAATTGTTTCTATTCTTCCATTCAAGTTCAAATACATTTTTTAAAACTTGTAGTGGATGACACTTGATGTTAATACAGTTTTTTCAAATATTAATTCATTGATTAAACTTAATTGATTAATAAATAGTAGCAAACAAAAATAATAGTCCAACACCATACATAAAAAGGAAAATCGCTCGTGGTGTCCCTGTAGCGTAATGGATAGCGCGTTGGACTTTTCATCCAATGGTCATGGGTTCGAATCCTACCTGGGATGGCCTAATTTCTGAGAATGCGATTTATGAATAAATAGTAACAAACAAAAATAGAAGTCCAACACCATATAAAGAATGGAAAATCGCTTTCTATTCTCCCGCTTAATATTGTGATTCTGTCATATGTATACACATATTTATATTAATTGTTATTGTTTGATAAAAAGTAACTATATATAAAATAAGAATTTTCTTTGTTGACCTAAGTAGAAATTGACTTAATTTTTTTTATATTGCTTGTTTTTTTTATTTAAATACATTGAAGTAATACTTTTATTTATGCTGTTTATTTCTTATTTTAAGATAAATATATTTAAAAGATGCATAAAATCTATATACAATTATTATTTTTCATTTATCTTTTGAAGAAACAGTCATATCGTTGACTCTTTCTGTTAATAATTATCTTTAAATGTTGCAAAATTAATATACAATAAAACTCTAAATGTATATTCTTGACCACTACTTCCTAACTCTGCATGCATTATATTTGGAAATGAATTGTTTCAAATATTCCCTACCGTGTGGCACCCTGTATCCTATTGTTAGATGGGTTTGGCATGCCACAACTACAAAGTTACTGACCCCTGGTATAGGCTAATCTCGGACGTATGCTAAGCCTATGGATAGATATCTTTCGAACCTGCACAAAATTAAAAATCCTGTGAACATTTGCAAGACGTATGGAAAATTTTGCAATGTATATCTGTAGAAGTAGGGAAAATTTATTTTGATTGATTTTTTTTAACGAAAAATGTATTATTCTTTTAAATTGTATAGTCCCTTAAAATGAAAGAGTAACAATGGGCTCAATTCATGAAGTCACATGATAAAAACAAACACGTGTTTTCCACTGAATTCAAAACAAACATTAAGCTAATTGTACTTATTGTTCTATTTGTAAAACTCAGATAAAATTTCAAATTTCGTATTTGGGTAAAGATGTTTAATTGTTGGGGGGAAAAAATTCTTGGAAAAATTTTTTATAAATATATATATATATTATATGTTTATACTTTTAAATAAAATACATTTTGTATACATATGTACTTTTGAAGGGAAAGTTTCTGCAAAGAGCAAAACTTGGCAACACCGGAGCGCGTGAACTGATTAGCTGGAAACACTAGATAGTTTTTATTGTGTGACTATGACGTCACATGAGTTTTTAAATTGATTGGCTAGAATCACATCACATGGCTTTCACTATCATGTAACTATGACGTCACATGAATTGAGCCCATTATAACCTGAATTAACATCTTCATTTCTCACAATTCAACAACAATTAATGGCAACTTTTCTTAGAGCTTGAAATTTATTGACAGTATGTTAGAAATAAGAAGACAAATGAAAAGACACATTTAATTGCATGATGTTATTTATTAGACATTTGCAAACACAATGAAATAAAACTTTCTTTTCGGTTGGTTTTCAATACAGTCTGTACTTTTTATTGGCACATACAGCGTGCAGTTTGGGCAAAGCACAAATGCTCAGTTATAGGAACGTCAGTGTGTACAGTATATACAGAGTTATTTATAAGCAAGAGCTGTCTTTCCTCGTACGGATCATACAAACTTTCAATTGATATTCTTCAAAACTAGATTTCTGAATGAATTGGCAAATTATTATAGATTGACAGATTTAAATCCAGAATGTATTTTTATTTTTAATCGTTCTTTCTTATATTGAAAGACTGATAAGTATCGTATTTATTAATCTGTAATCCATTTCATAATATTACTAGAAATAAATAATTAGTTTAACTGAAAAAAAATAATGATTCCTATTTTTAGTCATATATTGGAAAAATTTATACAAAATTTCATTGTTGTCAATTCTTTTATTTCAGATATTTTTTTAAAAATGTAATCATTGTATAATTAATACGGTCACTTATTAAAATTTCATCTAGGTGTCTTCAGTTACAAAATTTTAGACTAACATAAAATAAAATGAATTTGAATTAATTGAAAATTTGGGTACTTTGCCATTTCACCTTATATAGTAGCCAAAAATGATGCAACCGAAACCAAACGGAATATTCCCACTGGTAAATTTTTACCGCCACTTTTTTTAAAATAAGTCGTGATCTTTTCTTATCAGTCAACTCTTTTCCATAATACTTTAAAAAATAGTCGGAGAAACGAATGAGAACTATCATTTATAAGAAATTTTAATGTGTTTATTGTGTGTTGTCGCCAATAAACCATGCTTGGCGAGATTTGCGCCGACGAAGCGGAAAAGTACCAAAATTTGATATCACAGTAAAAAATATATATCAGAGAAAAAGCTACTATAGGATGTAGTTTCTGTAAAAAAAAAAAAAAAATTGCGCGTATAATAAGTAATTTCAAATTTGATTTATTCTGAGTTTTTAGAAACCGGATTGAAAAATAATGTACTATTTAATTCATATGTATAATCAAATAAATATTTTCATTTAACTAATGAGCTTAACTTATGACGGTCACGTGATAAATGGAATCACGTGTTCTCCACTGAATTCAAAGCTACCATTAATCTTGTACTTGCTGTTCTACATGTAAAATTTAAATAAAATTTCAAATTTAATAGTTGGGGGTAAAGATGTTAAAAGATTAAAATTCTTCTAAAAGTTTTTCAAAATAAATTTTATGTATGTACTTTTATATCAAGTGTAATTTGTTCCCCTATGCTAATTATTATTGTTGATAAACATGAACTTTTCAAGGAAGTTTATGTAAAAAAAATCAAAAATTGGCAACACATGGACTGATTCGTTGGAAATACGTGAATTCATACATCAAGTGACTATAACGTCATATGAATTTAGCCCAATACATTGAAAGCAAAAATTGGGAAAAGTATTATTTAGTCCATGATTTTATTTAAAAATTCCTTAGGTAAACAAAATTATTATTTACCAATAAATAATTATTTTTAAGATATAAGATTATAAGTATGTTATATTGAAGAAAAAAAATAAAGCTTTGGAGAAAATATAATTCCTTTCAAGTTTTATTTGTAGCAATATTAAAAATGCGAATAAGTACTCACAGAATATCAATATTTCATTTGTATCAGTATTAATCAAAATATCAAACCTTAATTAGAATCAGTTTTTATCTGGATCCACTTTTTAGATTCAATTGATTTAGAGAATTTTTTTTCAATTATTGCGTATTCACATAAATATATGTTTTTTTCTAAATAACTTTAAAAATATTTCCAGTTTATTTTTAAATTTTATTTTCAAAGTATTCGCGACTATAATTGTTCATCTACTTATGTGGAAAAAAAATTAACATTAAAAAAAAGACTTTATAGACTAAAAAAATGGACTAAAGCATTTATAAATTAATTGAAATAACACATCTCTTCAGTTAAAAAAAAACATGAAATCATCTGTTGTTTTGTTTCCCGCGAAAGACAGCTCTTTTCAATAATTGAGAAATGTAAGTCCATAATCAACTTAATAATTTAATTTGCAGTTCTGATGATTGATAAATAAATACAGTCTTTTCATTCTACATCAACTTTTTGTCAGTATCAGCATTGCATTAACAGTTCATTTCTCGCCTCTTTAAGCATCATTTTTGTACATCTTCAAGAATATAATGATGTAGAAACTTCGTACATTTCTTGAATTTCCACACATCTACATAATTCGCTTCTTTTTTACGCAACACCGAGACAATATATCACTTGGAAAAAAAATTACAATGGTTCAAGATATTTTATCTTTCAATCTGATATTCTGTGACAAAGTTTATTCATTTGATATATATTAGTTTTATTTTATTTTTGGAATGTTGTTCGTCACTTCTTATATCATTATCACCAACGCTAGAAATTAGAAATGCCTTTTCAACGACGTCAAGTCTTTGGTCTTTCGCAAGGTAGCTTTAAAATGAGCTTTTATTTGTTACTTATCAGTCAATGAAGTACAAATGTTTGGTAGGAGTAACACCGGTTGATATCTAGAATTCGCGTATCTAATAATTCTCATGCCATTTTATGAAGTAGAAAGCTATATTAACCCTTTAAGTCAGGGGTTGGTAATTGATTTAGCTTGAGGGTCACATTGGGGAAGAGGTGGATACCATAGGACTGCGCCTTTTTAAACTGATTGCATTTATTAAATATTTTTGCATCTCAAATAAAGTATAAATTGTAACATAAAAATCAATATACCGTAAAATCCGACGTATAATGCGCATCTATACTTCCAAGCTGCAATTTTTAGTTTTTAGGTATATTCGCCGTATAACGCGCACCCTCTTTTTTTACAAAGAAACCTGAAATGTTCGTGCGCAATGCTTTTATATTTTGAAATCATTTGTTTGAGGTATTATCGCAAATTTGAGAACAAAAATAGTATATTTCTACAACGACAGGTCTTTAAGTTCAAAAGGAATGTTATTTCTTTTAAATATAAACTGTTTTTCGATTTATGCAAAAGTCAATTTTTTTTTTTTTTTTTTTTGTGATCATCTTTTTTTTTAATTCCTACTATTAGCTCACACTCTATGCATTTATTTATTTATGTATTTGTTTATATTCGTGGGATTTTCAATCATTAATAAAATACATTTTAAAGCTCTCCATTGAGCTGAAATTTTATATAATGATTATTTTGGATGACAATACAATAATTTAATAAAAATTAATAAAAATTAATTATTCAAAGAATTACAAATACAACCCCGTTGCCATCATTTTTGGTGACTTGTGTCAAAACATGAAAAGGTTTTTTCTCACATTTTAAAACGCTCGTTTGAGCTGCAATTTTCTATACACGATTGATTTGGGTAAAAATACGATAATTTAATTATAATTAACTAAAATTAATAGACTGAAACTAATTATTTAAAGAATTACAGATACAGCCACGTTGGTTTCATTTTTAGTGATTTGGGTCAAAACTTTACAAAAGATTTTTTTTCTCACGTTTTAAAAGGTTTAGTTAAACTGAAATTTTATTTACACGATTGTTTTGGATAGCAGTACGATACTTTAA